AATTCTCACGTCCCTCTGCTCATTGTTTTTTTCCTAGTGAGAGGGCACCATGTGTACGCGAACGAAACTAAGAATAATAACAAAGACGCTGTCCTTGCGTGAAAACAAAAAACACAGTTGACTCAATTTTCGCCTTTCTGGACAATAATTATGTTTTGTATCGCGAAAACGCAAAATGTAGTTGTTGAGATGTCTGCCCTGGCATCATTAATGTAATGTTGACATTAGGCTAATGATGTTTCGCTCACGGCAGCAAGTCAAAAATGTTACATTCAATGTTTGAAAGCAAAACAGTGAAAAAAGTTGAAATTAAAAAAATAATTGCCGTTATTGACATGCCCGTCCCTTCGTGAAAACGGTGACGGATTGTAGTGTGTGTTGGAGATTATACCGAAATAAGTAAATAACTCTTTGTTTTACCTATAGACCATCTTTACGTCCAGACGTGGTGTTGTCCACTCGTTCCGTACAATCTCGTGTAAGAGCTGATGGACAATTGGTTACAATTCAAGCGACACCTTACAGGTCTGTTCATTGGCTGATAGCTGTCAGCTGAGGGTGCGCTGAGGTTAATTGACACCCACTGTAACTGGTCTACAATGCGGATATCTTGAGGTAATCGCCAAATCGCCCTCCCCCGAAGAAATTGAACCAAAATTTGCTTTGCAAAACCGCAAGTTAATTGACCCCCTTGCAGAGTAAATGGTTTATCAGTTCCGTTACTGATTGGTTGTTTGCCCTCCCCCCAAAAAAGTGTCCCCCCCTCCCTCGCAAAAATCCTGTTGACACCCATGAATATTGTTATTTGTAAGCCCATTAGCTGATTCAGTGTAGTTCCGTAAAAAAGAAACGACAAAAAAGCAGACATTCTTGATGCGAATGAGCGAGAACGCGGAACAACTTAAACCACTCTCGTGACGTCATAATTCAGAGAAGTATATTATTCGTTAAAATGTACAGTGAAATTTACATTTTTGAAACGAATGCACACTTGACTCTCTTCCGTCTTAAAACAAAATTGTTTGTTGAATATTGAATTATTACAACGTGAAGCACACTGAAAAAGAAACGCTCTTTACAGTTTGGTACACTGTGTTCGACGTTCTACGGGTTCATGTTCGCTCTGAATTTTTCGATCTACCGCGCTAAAATTTTGTTGTTCATTTTTATACATACTTCGTCCTTTTTTTTATTTCCTCATTTTTGTCATGTTTACTTAAGTTGTTTACATTTATGTTAATTTTAACGTGCACTTTTTATTATTTGTCTACAAATTTGATTCAACTAAACCGGACTTCTGAATATGCTCACCTTTGGACAAATCGTAAGTCAAAGATCACTTGACTCCAACCGGCGAGTACCCTCAGAAAAGTTCATTTCGTGTCTCGAATGACATTAAGATTTTTCTCTCAACAGAGAGAATGGGTCATGGCGTTCGCATTGGCGATGGAGGCACAGATGAACACTGCCGAATATCACCAAGTTGTTGTTCCTGTGAGCAATGTGGATTGGCTGTTTTAGAGGTTGATTGATAATGATTCATACCATTATTTATTGGACTACATGTACGTGTACTTGAGAAACATCTTTCACCAGCCCTTTCCTGGCCATTTCTCACGCTGTGTTCTTGACGGAATTATTCAACGTATAAGTCTGTCCAAATCGTTTAGTTTCTGCCTCAATCGATAATGTCCACAGTCTTAAACCTCTTTTTAAGCAACAGAAATAAGCACACGCACGACATTACCCTTGGGTAATTTTGGCTGTTTCTTTAGAGAAAAAAAGAGGAAATTTGATAATAATTATTTGACATTAGTTCGTAGGTCAATGCAACAATAACGATGGTGTGGGCACGATGTTAGACACGTATTTCATCATAAGATAAAGAACCTGTCGTCACAGTGAATTCTGTATAGGAGGGAAAGTGCAAGAATTCTCACAAACAGGAAAGACTACTAGTTCATACTTGTCAGTATACGCCCTGACATCATGCGCGCGAATTTACCAACAAAACACCCCAGATGAAAAACAATCAACTCTAGATCTGTGTACTTTCACAAATACTCAGCAAATCCCAAACCAGCCGGAACTAGAAGGGCGACGTGTGACTTGGTAATAGTGCAACTTCTTCTTGTTGATGATCATGTTGACCTGGTCTCTTTTCAGTTTGTTGCCCCGTTTTTAAGAGAAAGTAGAACGTGAATCAGAAAATTAAAGAAAAGCTTCATCCTATTATTACATTTTCCTGATGACTTCTCATCAATTGCTTAATTCGAGTTATAACCTCCTTTCAAAGTCTTGCGAGAAATTGCCCTCAGGCTGAATTATAGCGAGAGGTCTAGACAGAACTCGCTTCAATGACAAGCCAACGTTCACAACAGTGAAGTAACACCAACCTGAGCTGGGCAGAGACAGGAGAAAGAGAATCAAGACGGTCGAAAATGAGCTTGGGTTCCAACTGCAGGGAGCTCCGTCAAGCGTCACGCGGGGAGGGTGCGCGGGGGGGGGCCTCTGCCCTTACTATCTTCGCCATTGCTCATCGGACGATTCAAACCCTTGCCAAGTCACACTGTAAAAACCTCGAAGCGCTTTGGACCTACAGTTGCAGACGGTTGCGGTCGAGTCAGGCAGCCACCGCGGAAGCGATATGACTGTGGTTATAAAGGTTTAATAATGAGAGGCAAAGGATGACTAAAGAGTAACTTCTTAAAGGGGCCGCGAACCGGACTTCTGGAGGTCTACTCAGGTTGATATTACTCATGAGGGAAGGGAGAATCATTGTGGAGCTAGCGGGGCCACCTGCCGAATTCTTCTGCGTTTATCCCGCATAAAGCCCACCGGCTTCACACTGTTAAACTTTTTTATGTTGTGTACACACGTTCATGTGTGCGTCAGGAACGTATGTGACTAACAGCTTCCATTCGATTTCAGTCGCCTGATGCATGCTGCCCATCACTCCACCCTGAAGAAATTCAAACAGAAGTCAACATCAGGCCCAAAAACAAGGCGAAAAAAAAAACACTCATTGGAGAGTGATTCTCAAATAGGAGTAAAAAGAACAAATTTTTTTTCCTGTTTTTTTTTCTAGGATGACGGGAATTTCAGTGAAAAGACACACGATTTCCTCGAGATTTTAACTGTCAGAAGGGTCATGATGGTTGAGCGGCACTTTTTATAGACAGCACGGAGTTTGTGTCTATTCAGGGAACTTTCCGGAAAGTTTGGAATAATTCACAGGCACCGATCTGAGCCGCTCGTTCACCGCTTTAGGCTGATTGCGTCACATCTCAAACACACAGCGCTAGGTATAGTTTCAAGGAAGGGGCTGCGCAGAGGCGATTGCGAGGCTGTTGTGTCTTATCGAATTCGTCAAGTAAATGTAAAGCATCTACTGACTCAAGATTAAAGCAACAAAATCTTTCTTGTACGGTTCTTGTCCCAAGACGGTCCTAAAGATGAGAGCTACACCAATTATGATGGTTGCTACCCAACAATACACCGCTAATGTATACGGGCGCCTCAATTTGCGACGCGTTTGCCAATCACAACGCGCCAAATGTGTCGACCCTTCCCAAACGCGCATTGGGTCGACATATTTCGCACATCGTGATTTGCTAACGGGTTGCAAACTCTTGGAGGCGCACTATTGTGAATCGGGATATTACAATGGAGGGGGGGTGTTTCCTTTCTTAGCTTTGTTTTCTCTTTTTTTAAAAAAAATCTCAATCGACACATTGTCCGAGTGTCTAGCACCTTTCCGTTGGACAATTTGATTCGTTGAATGATGATGAGCAGTTTGATTAAATTGAAGTTTACTTGATCAGCATCGTGTGCTTTATTCAGATCTCGATTTAGAAGTGAAGAAAATAGGTGGAGAACATACATGTCAATTATAACTAATGCTGAGCTTACTTCAGGTTTGGTTCTATCCATCTTTGCTGCTCCTCGTAACTTGAAGTGCTCAGCCCCCGGCCGCCGCGCCTGTTTTCAACTGATTATTTTGCCGGCTTGTTTTTGTCAGAACTGGTTTCGCCCGGGTTGGGCAATCCCAAGCTGAGGGCGGTTTCCGGCTCCCCACTGCCATATGCACGGGCCCCGAAGGGTCCCCTACTCCCGCAGCCAGCCCATCTCTTGGCCCCGACATGCTGACGTGCCTGAAATGTCACATTTCCCTGGCAAAATATTTGGCCACAAACCAGTCTCCGCTCCGGCTAAAAATACCCCGGCGTGCCGTGCGCACGAGGGAAGGGGCGAATTTAAAGGTATCCTGTCAGCAGGTTGTCCCTCTCGCTCTGCCTCACAGGCTCTAAAGTCCTGCCCCAATTTCCCAATCTAAATTTACTTGCCCATTTTTCCCGTTTGTACTTTAAACAACCAAATAATAGCCAGTTAAAAACAGGTACAGTGTCAACATAACAGACAAGAATCCAGTGTTGCTACCGCACTGGATGCGGGTTGAAATGAGGCCAAGAAGGCAGAATCTTAAATGAAGGAGTTTAAAATCCTGTTTATTTTTTTTAAGATGTTTGCTGTCTCCTTACTTTTTGGGTCAGGGACTGGGAAAAATTCGCCAAGCCAGGAATGCACTGCAGGGAGGCCGTCTGTGACCACAAAAATGAACTATTCACTATAATTATAAATTGCAAAAAAATTTTTATTTACGTTTCTGTAATATCGATTACACTTAGCCTTATCGTTTATCATATCTAGCATCACCTGCAATGTTCTTAAGGTCTCAGACAAAATTCAAATATTCATCCAAGAGGATGTGGAAGGTCTTCAATAACGCCCTAAAGGCCCCATTGTGAAACACAGCCATAGGAAAAATGGCTACCGCTATTTTATTTTCCTTTACCCATAGACCCTGAAGTGTCTGAAGAATCTAGCTTTTAAACTTTAAATTGACATTATTAATGGTCTGGTGTCTTAATAAGTTATCAGTGAGGATGCGGTGCAGGATGAAGGTACCTTGGTTTTTCAATCCCGCGTGCACAAGTTTGAAATTATACAGATGTTCTGTCCCTCCAAACACATCCCAAGCATGCAATCAATTCCTCTGTAGCAAAGAATAAAGCCCAACTTGATTTTCACTGTGATTCTTGGCTGGGTGTGACATCTTGGAGCCACTTGTTAATTAAACCATCTGCCTATGTATGCCTATTGCCAGATGTCCGATGGTTGTTGTGGGATGGAGAATCAATTTATAGCTTGACACATCATCTAATGGCGACCCCACGACCCGAAGAGCTTCTCAAATATTGAGGTTGTTATTTCCCCTCCCAAGATAGCTTTGTCATCTTCTGGTCCGCTCCACCTATCCATCTGTGATCTCCTTTGGTCTGGTATGAGGCTTGGAAGCTCTGGTCGGTCAGGGTTGGTAGTTGTGACTGTAGTGGTGATGTTACCGTCTGCATCTGTCTCTGTGCGCCTTTGCTCTATGGTCTGTAAAAAAAAGAACAAAAATTAATGTTTTACCCATTATTAATGATTCCTATTGAAGATATGAGTGACAAATGTTGCAACCTTTAATTTTACAAGAGACTATTTTTCACAATTAAACTCTATCACTCTAGACCTGTTCACGTAGTTGGTTTCTAGTAAGTAACGTACAGAGTTTTTGTGAAAATCTTTTTAGAGAGACTTTTTCTAAAAATCATTGTCCGTATTTCATCATAAGATTAAGAACCTGTCGTCACAGTGAATTCTGTATAGGAGGGAAAGTCCAAGAATTCTCACAAACAGGAAAGACTGGTAGTCCATACTTGTCAGTACGCCCTGACATCATGCACACGAGTTTACCAACAAAACACCCCAGAGGAAAAACAATCAACTCCGTGTACTTTCACAAATACTCAGCAATTCCCAAACCAGCCGGAACTAGAAGGGAAACGTGTGACTTGGTAATGATGCAACTTCTTGTTGATGATCATGTTGACCAAATGTACTGTAGTATCATTGTTAAAGTGTTGTAAGTTTACATTCCTTAAGAAATGTCCCCACAGGGGTAATTTCCCCCTGCCCCTTTAGACACAGCACTGTTTCTCACCACCGCAACCTTGACACTCAGTTTGTGTCAGGAAGCACATGTCCAGGGCAATCGCTGTCCGGACGTCCACAATCTGGACAGCCTGACCCGTCTGACCCATGGGTGTCAAGAGAGAAAAATGCTGCATAGAATTACTGAACAAAGGAAGCCTGCTCATCTGTCAAATGTTGCAAACTGCTTTGGTGTAAAGTGCGCCCTCGTGGGACAGCTGCATGTGAAGTAGCACCACTATTTCTCTATGTCAAGGAGTTGGATAGGGCGATAAGTAAATGGCTTGTTTATCATTACGCAGTGGATATTGGTCTGTCGCTGGCAAATTAAACTTAATGATATTTTGCCGGGCACATGTGCAGTAACTGTTTATTCAGAGGAAGAAATAATTTCACTCAACACAGTGACAATTTTAGTCTGGTTCTGAGCCAATGTAGTCATGGTGACTTTGTATTCACCAGGTGGTTTTCCTTTAAAAAATCCCCAAAGGCTATGAATCTGAAAAAGAAAAATGCAGAACTCTGCAATTGAATATTGAAGTCAATTAAAAAATAACAAACGAAACACATTTTCATTTTTTGAGACATGAGATCTCCAGATGTGCACAATATCCACTAGACCACAGGCCCCACTTCAAACCCAGTGGTAATTTAATAACCTTTACAGGCTTACTCGTGTACGTGCGTCAAAGAGGGTGCTGTCTACTTGTTGCCAGCTAAATACCCTTTAGTTAAATTTAGCCAGTGATGGCTCAATACTCACTGTTTTGTCATAATGGAGTAATTTTAACACATTAATGCAACATAAAAATCACGCTCCTTTTCCCACTCAACTGACTGTAAATGGGACACAACTGTGGTGTGTCGGGAATAGAAGCAGTCCGATGTGTTTTTGCCCTGTAACGTGATTTGTGTAATGTGTTGGGATTTGTAACTCAGTTTCCCCCTTTTCTTGTAATTTAAGACAATACGTATGGAGCCAGTGGGTAAGGAAAAAAGTTAGCACAGCATGGTATGGCATCCAAAAGATTGTTCTCTCAACATTTTGCAGTCAAGAGAACATGGATGATCAACATGATGTCAGACTTCAGAGGAAGTTTGATTATTTCTTGGAAGGTTGGTTGCTGAAAAGGAAAGTGTGTGACTGGAATGAGTCACATGGACATTGTTGTAATATGAGAAAGCTTTTGTTTCAGATGTTCATTAATTAAATGACTCAGTGTCATCATTGATAATCTTGCTGTATCTGTGAATGGTTCAGTATGGTACTTCCTTGATAAGGCTTTCTACAATAAACCTACACAGACTGTATTCCTGATGTAGGAACCAGTTCATAAGATTGCAGCAGAAGTTTGAGGTTTAAGTTCGGATGAGGTCGTTCCAAAAACAGACCATCCCAAATTAAAAAAAAACCCTTTCTTGAGGAAGACGGGGGCCTAGTTTAAATCTGGTGAATTATTGTGATTGACTGACACACTGTCCTTGACAGGAGATTACAATTTTACACTGCAAATACCGTAACTTTGGCCAGAGAGGGAAAAAGGAGAGAGAAGAGAGGAAAATGAGAGGGAAAGACACATTACTGTATCTTTAAAGACTTAGCTGCCGCCAGGCTGGAACGCTGTAAAAAGTTAGTTCTTTGAGTTTTGTCTCCAAAAGGAAGGTTCAACTGAAGAGGGCTTCAAACCCGAAACCGCAAGAAGACCGCACCAGTGGACAACAAACTCAGTAATCAGCCTAATTTTGACAGTCTCCCCTCTAATAGCCCACACAGAAAGAATAATAACCAATTACACTATGAGGCTCAGTTGGTATGGCAGAAGTCAAAGGTTTGAATTTCGCTTCAGCTCGTAAGTTTATTTACTTGTTGGTATTGAGGTAGGTTGCCTATTAACTGGCTATGGCTTTGAGCAATGTACACAGGTATAGAAACGCAGCTGCAGCCGCTAGCTAGTGGCTTCCATGAGTGCATGCATTATCATCAGCCTTAGCTGCGACATGGGGACATGGCCTGACTAACCCCATCCGGCTTCCTGACAGTGTGCACTGAGATGCTCCTGAAGTGTGGCCTGGACGTGTGACCTGGTTGAGCAGGGTTATCATTGCGGGAGGAGGGCGGACTGGCCGCTTTTAGAATCTCGTCCAACTTCCTTCCTCTCACTTCATCATCCAGGTCTGGAAGGGCAAAGGTGATGAGAAGGATCATCGCAAGGGCACTGAGTAGGCTCGTGGCCTGGGCTGGGCCAAGAATAACTGGATCACGTCATACTACAACCGTTAGTCATACTCTAGTTTCTTTCCATCATCATCTTTTACTGTTGCTGAGCCCCAAGATGTACATAAATTGGCCCCATACAAATCCCAATATTATTGTTATTAACACTACAGAAACAACTATGCACAACTGAATAAAGAGGGTGTATCAGATATCAGTGCTGCTGTTTTTGTCATTTTTGTCATCTGTTGTGATCTCTTCAAAGATTACTTGGTTCTTTGCCAAATTGCCTATACCCCTTTGAATTACTGGGAGTTCATGCAACGGGGGGGGGTCTATTCTGAGGTGTTTTCAAGCAGAGTGGCGATTTTTATCCCCTTTCCTCCTTCTGGTTTCTCCTTTCATGTATCTGCCTGTATTGTGTCACATGTTTGTCCCCCCCTCCCGTGACACCCATGACTGAATGAACTCATCACACTTTTTCTCTGTTCCAGTCATGCTTACCAGATGATTACTGTGCATTTATGACATTATTGCGGCATTTACATGTATCACTCTCGCTGTGGAGACCTTCACAAGTTCATCACAAGACCCTGCTAATGGGTACATGCAAATCACATGTTTGGATGTAAGTAACAGGGCATGGGCAAGGACAAAGGAGTGCCTATGTTAAAGTGCTCTTGAATAGCTACATGTATTATTTGACCTTCGGACTTTGAGGTACTTGTGGAGACTTGTGAGGAGAAATCAATGAGCACAGAATAGAGGTTTTGCATGGCAGCCATCTTGCAGGGCAGTTCTTTTGTTCCACTGGGAAACCTCCTTTGTGCATTTCCTGTAGAACAAAAGCGCTGGCCTGCAAGATGGCAGCCACGCAAATCCTCTATTCATACCTCTGTCTTCCTTGGGTGGGGTTGCAGGTGGTTGGGTAGGCATGTGCCAATGCCACTTTGGTTTGGTGGTCCACAGAGAATGCTATGGAGGATGCAAGGAAAGAGCATCATATCACAATGATGTAGCTATGAATACCACAGACAAATGCAGTATTATATGCAGATGAATGCAGGATGCAAATGCTCGTCGTCATGGTCACTACCTTATCAAGGCATCTTTGGCTCTTTCAGCAACTCATTTGTCTTTCATTAACCTCACCAAAGGGGATGAATATTTTCACTAGTTTGAAGACAGGAGAAGATTTGTCTGACACAACATCCATCAGGACATCAGTTGATCAGCATCAAAAGTAACTTAGCCCATTCAAACACGAAGTAACGCCTTGATCACCTTGGATGATCACCTCGATGGAAACGTTAGGACCACGTAGCCATGTGGAGATGATGTGTATCCAACATCAACCTCATTATGTACCGATCACAGGGGTTTTTCTTGACTCTAAGTAAAGGGCAAGGCTCGGGAAAGGAACTAACGTCAATGTCTTTGTCATTTATGACTATGAAGGAACCCCCCTAACCTCGTCCTCACAAAGCCCCCAGCTATGGCAGGCAGTGCCACATCTTACCCATGATGGCCCTCCGTCCTTTGCTTTATTCTCATCTCTTTGAAGACGGTCCTTATCAGATAGTCTGGGCATGGGTGCTGAGGGCTGGCTACTATCTGGGTGCTTCAGCATCTCATCTCGTGGGGTTTGATACCGTGGCGATGATATTGGTAGAGAGGGGTCTTGGTCTGTCCTTGAAAATACTGAAATTTGGGCCAAAATCTGTGAGAAAAATACATTCTACGAAGACACTTTGAGATGTGCCTACATACTAAACACACGTGGTGCAATCGGGTGACCAGTGTGCATGAGTATTTTATCATGTACCAGTATGTGAGTTGTCCTGCTGTTTGAGTAACTCGTCACATGACTAGATACACGTAAGTTCATGGAACAGGACATGATACCATTACTCAACAAACTAAAAACATTCCTCTTGTACATGGTGCATGTGCACACAAGCCCCCCTTTTTGCCAAAGGGTGCTGGGTTACAGGATGGCCATTCATATCTATGACAAGAAGGGGGGAACTGGAGCATCTGGGGGGAGGGGCTACATGTACGTCCCCTCTCTCTCCAGAAGGAAAAAAAAAACCAAACAAAATTGAGAACTAATGAGAGATGCAATTGTTAGGGGGCTCTGTTTCAATTTCCTTCTTCCCAAAAGTGTGTAAAAAGCTCCTAAATGTAGCCTTTACCCCTCAGACAAACCAAAAGAGGTTAGACAAAAAAAAAATCCAAATTTTTGTCCCCCTTCCCATTTTGGAACCCTCCCCCAAATGGTTCTTGATCCATTTTTGCTGGGGGTGAAGGGGCAGGAGGATTACACTTTGCTGCTTCTGATATTGTCAACACTGCTGATGAAAGGGCAGCACTGTGACTTTCAAGGATCATTTATTGGTACAATGTGTCTCGTACTAGTTTCACTGGCTTCAGACCAGTGTACAGCAAAGTTGGGCAATCTCATCCAACTTTACAAAGAGGTGGACTGCTCCAACTGAAGCTGAAGAAGGGCTTGTTGAGCATGTTCAGCTTCCTTATTCAAAATAAAACCAAACCTTAGGTCTAAGTGGCCTTCTTCTGGGTTGGCATCAAAAGGGAAACACGTTTTTGGACATTTTATAACATGCCATGACTGAAACTTACCAGACGGTGGGAAATCACTGAGCCCAAAATTTCTGAACATCTCCTCAAAATGCCGGAACATGTCCTGGGTCTCCTCTTCAAACCTGAAGAAAAGATCATCGCCGAACCTTCCACCCCGACCTGGGCCAAAAGTCGCATTGTCGTTCATCTCATCATTTTCATCTACACCAAACGGGCTGCCAAAGAACCCAAAGTCAGGAGGTGTGTTGAAGTCATCCCTTTCTTCACAGTCACTGAAATAAAAGTACATGCATGACCGTTTACTGTGAGGAATAACCCTGTGTGTGAACAGTTTGGAATGTATCAGCTATGTACATGTACATACGTGTACACTTACATGTACATGTACGGAAAATGTGCTAATGAAAACCTATACATGTACATGTATTTACATGACGCATCCTTTTTTCTTGTAGTGTTTTGCCAAAGTAATGGTTCCAACCCTATGAAAACAGAAAATGAAAAACTTATACTCCCTCAGTCATATTGGACGCCAGATTTTTGAGGCTGCTCACTCCATTGGGGGGTTTGTACAATGTACATGTACATGGATATGGGACACTCATCAGCTACTGTACATGTGCATGTATGTTCATGTATTCCACCGTTTGTTTCCTTCCACACTCACACCAGTGTGTATTTGCCT